GTATCCATCAGCGTTATATCATATTACGCCTATCGAAAGAATGCAAAAATTTGTCGTGAAACTCCTATCATTGCACAATGTCCTGCTACGCAAGGAAAGCGCGCTTAGCCAGTCACATGAAAATATAAAATCATCTGAACTACAGTATGAACTCCGTAATGACCATGCACTAGAAGGAACGTCTATCTTCATTCGCCTAAGGTCTGCCTAGGGGAGGCACCCGCTGTCAACGGAAGACTGCTCATAGCAGCAAGGGCTTTCGTCCTGAAAAACATGCCCGTCCTACTTGAATACTTAGCATAACAGAGCCACACTGCTAGGTTGACGAATTATCCGCTAATTCACATCCATATGTTCAGTTTGATAAACTGGAGCCAGTTATGGAGATCGGAGGATAGGTAGCAATAATCCATATTGACTGCGACTGGCTAATATTCACGTTAAATGGCACTGCAAGGACACTTACACCTATGCCCAACATGACGGTGGGGCTAACCGGGATCAAGTGACGGAGTGCGACGCTAAGACGATGATACGCACGTAGATTGTGATTCCAATTGAGATTTTTGATTTACACCCACATTTTAAAAACCATTCGGGTGCGCTTGGCGTGCTCACTGAAAAAGAGAAAGACTGGTGGGCAGTGGATCAAAGCCAGTGACCTAATCGTACACCAATTTTCCGGCATCGAGACGGGCAGAAGGTAGACCGAAAAAGTTGTAACATTCTACATAGAAAATGAATGAGCTGTGCGCTTAGGAACTGAATCGAAAACATACTGAAGCGTTTGCTATGGTACAAATGGTGAATCTTCAGGGGAGTACGTAATGTATACAAATTTGCGTACCGACGACGCCAGTGGGATGAAGGAAAGTATTTTCCTAGCAATCTCCGTAAACATGTTTACTGCCAGTCGTCCAGAATGTAGAGACGCTTTCGGTGGCAGGGGTGGCGCAACTCAACTTACCCAATGGTATTACCTTCGCAAGTAGGTCGAATAGATCTAAGAGCTGAACGGGGGACGATTTGGGCTGTTGCGCAGACTCTAGGAGGAGGAACTCTATGCACATGGAGACATGCACCGCCGCTTCGCATGGAGAAGCGAGGATAGGGAAGGAGATCCTCTTGCGCAGCGAGTGACCCTCTCGGATATGGATGAAACTCGACGAGCTCCTGAAGTCAGCTAGGCAGTCGAGAGTTGAAGTTGTCTTCCCTATGCTATGGCGAGACACTCCCAAAGCTCGTGGTGCGGCGCATATACCTAATTGACGAAAGGAATAGATGGCAGAGGATCGGAGCAGCGCGTTCCTGCATGATAGTGAGTCATTGGGTGATACGATGAATGACCTTAACGATGTTTGCAAGGAGGATGACAGATCTGGCTGTGCTGTTCGGCTCTGAGCAGAAATGTAGCACAAGGGCAGAGACAAAGACCGGGGGAACCCATTGGGCCGGAAGAAACACAGGAATGCAGGCTTGGGTGATAGTAGAACCACCAGATGCATTGCTGAGAATGGCAATTGAGATAAGAAAAACTGTGCATATTGTGGGAAAACAAAACTTGAGCGCTTGATATTCACAGCCTATGTTTAAGCTGTGGAGTGACCACAAGGGTGAAGACGAATAGAGGATTTGAACAACGACCTCCGTCCTGACTCAGTTCTGCATTGAAGGAAAACTTACCACTCCGTATCAGTTGTCAATCCGCACGCATTCGTTCGGTATAAAATCAAGTCACTCTGAGTAAGTGATAACATTCGTTTGATGGGTAAAAGCTGAAATTGTACCCCGCGCATTAGGTAAAGTCCCCGAACCAAAATCATGTCTTCCCGAGCCTCTGCGAAGCAAGATAAATCAGCGACAAAGCCTCACCAAAAGATGCAAGGACATAGTGAACACGTCAGTGGCATCGTACGGCTGCCTGATAAACCGTGGATCATTACCAGTTCAGAAGATAGCTTACTCTGAGTTTGGGACATGGAAAGTGGTACACAGGTCGAGGATGCCTGAGAGGACGAAGAAAGTAACGGAGTACGCGCCATAGCACTGTCGCCAGACGGCAAGAAAGTAGTAAGCGGGAGTGAGGATGGACACGGTCAAAGTCATTAAAAGATGGACGGGGCGCACAGACGAAGTAATGACCATCTGCTGAAGTCCAGACTGAGGGAGAGTGGTGAGCGCATCCTTCGATCATACAACGAGAGCGCGGGACGTCAAGAACGGTAACATCATCCTGACAATCAAGGGACTCGAGTCACTCGAGGATGAGCTGTCACCATGGGTGCAGACAGTTTGTTACTCACCTGGTACGATGATTGCGACGGGCGCGGCCATGGGGAACATAAAAGTCTTAGATTCCAAGACAGGTGAACTGTTCAAAACACAAGTTGAAGATAAGGATACACGTAGGCTTGAAGCTTTATGCCTGGCATGGACCTCAGACCGGGAAGACCCTTATCTCCGGGGAACTCGACCTGATCAGGAAGTTCGACACTGCTACCTGGACCGAAACAGCTATTCTCAATGGGCACAATGGTGTTGTCTATGACATTTCATTGTCTCCCAATGAGCGCATCCTTGCAAGCGTATCGCACGACAAGACAGTGCGACTATGAAACCTAGAAACCAATCGGCCCATAGGACCACCTGTCCACCATGAAGACAAGTTAGAATGCGCGGCCTTTTCTGCAGATGGAAAGTTACTCGCCACTGGCGGCTTCGACAAGTGCATATACACGTGGGATGTCTCTGCTATCCTCAGAGAAGCTGGCCTTGATGACCATCTATCAGAAAATGTAAGCTTATATACATTTCATCCGCCATAACACTAACAATGAATCATCCTTCCAGGTGGTATGTTGCACCAGGCCTCTTCAACAACCTTACTCATCTTATCGTTCATTCAGAATCATAATGTGTAACTAGATCTGATACACCATCAGTATAAACTGGATGGCTAGCACTCAGACACATCATTCTGAGCCTTCAGGCAAGCTGCAGCAGGTCCAGCAGTCTGGGCCAGTGTTCTGCCGGTCAGTGTACGTTCATCAAAGTTAACGTACGTTCAGCTGCGAACTTTCCTATGGATGCAAGTGAACTGAACCCGTGCAGTGCCAGATGTCCTGCTTGGATATTAGATAATCATGTCTGATTGGACGATGAAGCAGGAGTGAATGTTCAAAGTGCAGTACACGGTGCGTCAACGATCGCAGAATGGATAGTACTCGACTACTACTACTAAGGTAGCACTAATTTTCTGAATCTACTCGGCAAGAACATCGTCAGCTTGAGGAAAGTCTGGATCGTCGATTCCCTCTGCATCTAAGTCAAGAAGCTCGTACAACTCAAGCTCAGCGTCTAAACCTCGAATGGTGACTTTATAAAAAGATCCCAGCCATTCCTCCGCACGAGAATAGTCAAGTAAGTCATTGATAGCAATGTGGGAGAATGAACCACCGACAGCACCGACGGGGACTGAGTGCATTGATTCTGTGGCGGAAATCTCCTCCTCCTCCTGAACAGCTCGGATAAGGTCTGCAGCAACATCACTTATCCCTCGCCTCTCGAAAGCAAGGCTGCGTGGCTCCTGTTCGCTGCTTTCTCCTGATAGATCATCACCAACTGCATGAACTACTTGAGTAGGCTCTGCTTTGTCAGTGTCCTCAGTGTCACAGTACCGGCACTGAAGCCGCTTCTTGACCACGTCATTGCGTACATGCTCCTCATGAACATACATCTTGAGTTCTGCCAGAAGGGTGAGCATCTCAGTTGAGAGCTGATTGTGCCATTTCGTGAGAATTGTGCCAAACATGCTAAATAGGCGTTCGCAAGAGGCAGAATTTGGGCAAATCGAGAGAAGACGTTGAGTGATAGTATGAAGTGGTTGACGTGCTGAACCAGGATGTGACAGTCCTGTCCATATATTGATTGGATCGACCGAAACACCCTGAGGACTGTTAGCAATGTCTTCTGAACTTGAAACAATCAGTTTGATGAAGCATACCTCCTTTTCTGTGTGATATAACAGTGAAAGCTTGTAGTTGTCCATGTATGCGAAGTCATGGGAGCTATTCAAATAGTCGTCCAAGTCCATATACAGTGGCTCAAAAAACTGTCCGCATGTTTTCACATTTTTCACTATCTATGATATTTTATGAGAATGTACAAACACATCAAGGACATGCTGGTACCATATTGGAGTACTACTTCAGGGCTTCCAATTGAGCCCTATGGCGTGGGAATCAGCCGAGATATGGTGGACATATGAGGCTTACAAAATGATGACTCATGCGGACAGTTTTTTGACTCAAATATTTTACAGTGATAATCAGGTATTCTAGTACATTGTGTGACCTCCCTTGGCTTTAATTACTGCCTCTATCCTTCTAGGCATACTCTTAAAACTATATCTAACTATATAAACCAGAATGTCTTATGTGTCATAGTCATAATCACTATGAAAGCCATCTCCTCTGCTCGAAGGGATAATATCCTCTCTTTGTCCTATGCTGGCCTCTCTGCTCATCAAATTTTCTCTAGAACTGAAGTATGCAAGTCTACTGTGGCCAAGTGTATCAAAGAAAGCCATCTGGACAAGGAAAACTCTTGTGGAGGACGTCCACCTCTGCTAATAAGAGGGCTATCATCCAACATATCACTACAGGAAAGGCTAATGATGCCGTCCAAGCCACCCATTATATCAATTCCACCATCACCACCACTGTCTCTTCACAAACTGTGAGGAATGTTCTCAAGGCAGTTCATCTCAAGGCAGTAACAAAGAAGAAATGCCTCTTCTCTCTATCAAACATAGACAGAGAAGACTACCTTTGGCTTGACCCATCAAAACTGGACTGTAGAGGACTGGAAGCATGTTATATGGTCAGATGAGACCAAAATCAATAGGATTGGGTCAGATGGGAAGGTATATGTGTGGAAAAAGAAGAGGGATTTTCTAACAGACAGAGAGGTTAGTGAGACTGTCAAATTTGGAGAAGGTTCTCTAATGGTATGGGGCTGTATGGGATGGAATGGTGTGGATATACTTGGTGAAGTTGAGGGGAGGATGGATGCTGAGCAGTATGTGGACATTCTAAATGACCACTTGCTGTCTAGCATAGCTGAATTAGGGATTGATGAAAAAGACATCATTTCCCAACAGGATAATGATCCCCAGCACACATCTAGAAGAGCCAGACAATGGTTTAAAGAACATAATATCAATGTTCTTGACTGACCAGCACAGTCCCCTGATGTCAATGTCATTGAACATCTCTGGGGAACACTCAAGAAGAAGCTTCAAGCCTATGAAACCCCCCCTAAAGTAGTATAGGAGCTATGGGAGAGAGTAGCAGTGGAATGAGCAAGGATTACAGCAGAATATTTCCAGAAATTGATTGAGAGTATGCCTAGAAGGATAGAGGCAGTAATTAAAGCCAAGGGAGGTCACACAATGTACTAGAATACCTGATTATCACTGTAAAATATTTGAGTCAAAAAACTGTCCGCATGAGTCATCATTTTGTAAGCCTCATATGTCCACCATATCTTGGCCGATTCCCACGCCATAGGGCTCAATTGGAAGCCCTGAAGTAGTACTCCAATATGGTACCAACATGTCCTTGATGTGTTTGTACATTCTCACACAATATCATAGACAGTGAAAAATGCGAAAACATGTGGACAGTTTTTTGAGCCACTGTAAAGATCGAGTGGTATATCATTAGTGTTGTAAAAACGGCGCCAAAGACGTGCAAAAAGTGTCGCAAGCCCCGCACACGTTGTGAGGGGTACATTCCGGAATGGAGAAACCTTATAGAAAGGATTCACAATGATGGCAGCAATAAAGACTTCCTGGTCGCACTGTTCCCAGCGGCGCTCGACGCTTGCAAGAACAGCTGTACGAGCTGCCAGATCAGTGCTGTTGTCGATCTTGGAGTAGCAAAAGTGCAGAAAACCAAATGATATTGCAACATTTTCGGGTCTTGCCTGGGCTGCTTGATGAACATTTGTCATGAGGGAAATCGGCTCCAGCAATGTTTTCCATCTACAGAGAGCATTAGTTCTGATTTTTACATTTATTTTTGAACCGTACCATGCCAATGCATGCCAAAACATTGCATTTTTGATTGTCACAATGGCTGTTTGAGTCTTTCTGCGTGAGCATGCATCTCCACCTGATATCAAATGAGCTTCGTGCTTCGTTACAAGCAATTTGAGTGCAGGACGAAGCTCAAGGAGGCGGCGATAGGCAAGATAATGAGACATCCAATGCGTCAGCACTGCCCTGAGAACTGTGAGCGTCTTTCCGATTGTCGCCATCTGTATTTCGTGGAGAATGGCGAGCACACATGTCTTGCTGCATAGCCACGTAATTAGTTCTTGCACCATGTCTCCATAGATCCCGTAGTCGTCTTTGACCTTGAAAAGGTCACCGACGATGAGATTCCACTGTTGTTGTGTCATTCATAATCAGCAAGTGTGACGAATCACGAAAATTGCCATACCTGATGAGCCAAGCAATTAGGAACAACAATGTGGGGTAGCTGCTCTTGAAGCAGACACCGAGCTTTTCGTGATTCACTGGACACGTCCATGGTGCAAGCAATAACACTTGCCCCCCACTTGGACTCGATCCTGCTGATTGCATCTAACATTTGCTTGAGAAGTTCTTCAGCGGTGTGAGGGTCCATCGAAGCATCGTGAACTTTAATCATGTGCAGCTAAATATACAATTAGTAAAATGATTGACAGTCTCCGCAGTTAGATTTACCTTTCGGCGAGCAGTCATCATAAACCCCAGGAGGTGATGGTGATTTTCACCAGTCCAACTGTCACATTGCAATGTTGCGTCAGCGCCTTGACATTCTTCTTTAGCGGTACCTTTGAGTATATTAAGGGCATGGGGTAGGACACGTTGTGTCAAGACTTTTGCAGAGGGAATTTTCACTCTTGGGAGAAAACGGTCGCATAATACTTTCCATTTGTGGTTCTCAACCCACCGCAGCGGTAAACCAGCGCTTGTGGTGAGTCTTGCAAGCCCGATTTCCCAATCAGCTTGATCTGAAGTCATCCAAGCTTGGTCGCCAAAGCCATTAAGTTGGTTGCCCAGTGCTATGGGGGAGAGAGGCGGAAGTGAGCCAGAAGCAGAGTGGTATTGACCAGATTGGATTAGATGTTGGCGCTTTGGATGGGATGGTAATGAGATTTCCAAGAGGGCAGGACTTGGACTGACCAACAGAGAGTCGCGGTAAAGGCTACTGGAAGAACTTGAGGCTGTGTCAGCCTCGGGAATTAGCAATGCGGGAAAACTCAGACGTGCAGACTGCATAGTCGATGATATATTGAGATCTGGTGGGCTGGTGGCGAGAATGATTGGAGGTATAGCACTGAGATGTGCTGGAGTTAGGACCCGAGTGGCACATTTTCGCGGTGAATATGATTGGTGGTATTCAAGCCATGCTTGCGAATGGATATCCTCAGAGTGCAATGTGCAATCACGCAAGTGACATAATAGTGTCGTCGGCTGACTGATTAACCAGGTGCGTTGGGGATCATTCTGGCCACTGGCCCAAACTAGTACTCCAAGTTAGTAAAAGAAAGCTATAAAACAGGCTTGCGTACGAGTGCCTGCGATCGCCACTTCATCCCTCGGTGCATCTCGCTGGCCTGCGTGAACCTGCTGCTCATCTATTGCCTGCTCATGCGCAACGCGTTGCTCATAGAGCCTTGCACACACCACCTTTGCCTTTCTGCTGACCATCGAAGCTGGGTCTTTGACAGCATAACCTGGGTGCTCCACAAAATGATCCCACCACCATCCTCGGTTTGACTTTGATCTCTTGCTGATCTTCGCCATCGAGTTAGCGTGTCGAAAGTGGGGAGTCCATCTTCGAGTTATAAGCCTTGAAGCGTGCCCTTGAACCGAACACACGAAAACCATGCGTTTATGTGAGTAATGATATGTGAAGCGGCACAAAGATAATGTCTAATCAAAGATTCTAGCATTGACCAGATATAGTATAGTTCATTATAGTGGGACCAGGAAACTCCTCAAAGTCGTGTTCAGATGAACATCGATAAACTTTGCCAGCTTTCCCATGAAATCCGGTCAGTGACTGTGACCTTGGTTCACTGACCGGCAGAACACTGGTCTGGGCTAGTTTTGACAGGTATCAACGTCTCCCCACACTCAGGTTCCTCAGAATAGCACACTGCTAAGCAGACCCCATTGACTTCATTGGGAGTAGCTGCCTTCACCCCAGCGACAGCAGCGAGGATCGCGAGGTAGGCGAACTGAATAGGCTTCATGGTACCTAGCATTGCTATATGTCAGTGATGGTTGTCAGTGTTAGGAAACCACACACCAACAAAAATTTGATTGTGTGGTGTATGCGAAAGGGCTGCTGCAAGTCCAGGGAGAGCTGCAACATGTCAATTGAGTGAAATGGATACAATGTCGTTTCAATTCTGTAACTCACTGTAAACAAGGTGAGTGTCTCTGAGGTTTTGAAACCCAACCCCATTCAATTTATATTTCTCGCTGAATGACGAAATTCGCCACGTCAGCCGTCCATAGCCAAATTCGCGCCAGAAGCAATGCTTCTAGCTTCAGTTTGACAAGACTAGTACTATCACCTGATCTGGAATGCACAATCGATGGGTAATGCACAATGCACTCCAGAGCTCACCACTCTACATATATTTCATTCGGAACAGCTGGAGAACAAGTATTAGCATATGTTCAATAAGACTACCAAATCAAATATTTAAAATCGGCGCTGGGAACCCTTCCCGAGATGAAACATTGTGCGAGTGTACCCAAAATGAGTGATTTTTGGACACTCATCAGCAAAACCCTAAGTTAAGGTCCCCCCATATACAGCACTGTATGGTGCTGTGTGGCACTGTGTGGCCTGTACAGCACTGTACATGGGGGGACTTCGCTACACATAGGGTTAGGGTTTTGCTGATGCTAAATCCAAGATCCACCCACAGCATGCTATTCACAATTCGTGAGCAAAGTGTGACGGTCAGGCTAGATTGGGA